GCCAACATATCACATTGACCCAACTGGGAATCAGGCCTGAGTCCTTTCCTCTTCTCTCATTTTGTCATAAGAGCCCCCACCATGAAGCCATAGGTCCAGGTTGAGGGACAGGCATCAGTACAACTGAGACGGGTGGCAGGGGAGTCTGGACCACCTTTTAATATTATCTTTGTGTGCCTCTACAGCTCTTTGAACCCAGTCACAAATGTAGCCTTTCCACCATGTAATGGATGCCCTTCCTCCTGCCTGACTTTATGACTTGCTGCTTCTGACAATACCCAGCTCAGGTGGTATTTTTTGATTACATGGTCACTTAACGTTCCATGGTCAGGTGCTCAGTTTCTTCTAGGGCCTCATAGCTCTTTTTCCAGTGGAGAAACCAGGAGCTGTTTTTCAAGTAGTAAATAGAGAACGTAGCCTTGCTCCACACCCCAGGGGCTTGTGCTGGGGTTCTGCTATTGCGATTTTCTACAGACTCCAAGCAGCACTTACCCTACACAGATACCTCTGTGTATAATCAAATGGCCCAAATGACAGGGAAGCTTGTACTACAGCCTGAAACTACTACAGAGTCCTCTCTCAAGGATACCTTTCAGGCCAAGACAATATACACCGGTAAGCTATATTCTGCCACTAAATTCCAAACAGGTCCACCATGTGTTATACTCCTTTCTTAATTGGAGGTGTGAAATGAAACAAGCTTTCCTTCAGGAGATGTCCTGGAGTGCCTCAGACCACTAACTCCTAGAAACTTCACTTTTGTGGGAGGCCCTTGAATCTTCCTGGGTTTATCTCCTGCCCTCTGGCTCATCAAGTTGCTACAATAACAGGATATTAAAGGGACGCAGACTCCTCTTCCCAGGAGGTTCCTCTACTCCTACGTAACATGTGGGAGCAACTCCTGTGTAATTGTGGGAGCAAAGAGAGATGTGTTTAGAGATGCTCTGCTGAAACACTCCGGGAACATCCAAGAGTCATGTAGCATTCGGTACATCAGGGGAGGGGTGATGTGACTCCATCTGTCTCCAGAACCTGAGCATAGGCCTGGTTCCATTTAAATGTCCCTTTTCTCTCAGAGTGATGCACTGTGCGCACTGCTGAGTCCTGTCTTAAAAGTGGTATTAAAGGTGAGGTTCTCGGTCTGGTCCCGTGGCCGAGTGGTTAGGTTCGCGCACTCCACCGCGGCAGCCAGGGTTCCGGTTCAGATCCTGGGCGTGGACATGGCACTGCTCATCAAGCTACGCTGAGGCAGTGTTCTGCATGCCACAACCAGAAGGACCCATAACTAAGAACGTACAACTATGTACCAAGGGGCTTTGGGGAGAAAAAGGAAATAAATAAAATCTTTTTTTTTTTTTTAATGTGAGGTTCTCAACAAAATGACAAAATCCAGCCCTAGCCTCCAGGCCCTGTCCTTCTCTGTCTCCCTGTAACCTTCAGCGCTAGCCCCCCACACCCTCAGGCAGTAGGCTTTGGAAAGTTGATGATTCTGCACTTCCAGAATCCAGGAGCCTGTCCACCTTCTACAGTGATGGGGACCAGCAAGGATCTTTCATCTTGGTTATACCCAAGGGATCAACCGAGGATGGCACATACAGTGTCACACGTGGCAGCAAAATTAGAAGGAAAGTTTGGGCTGAAATCATTAGTTCCATTTTGCCATAGACACAAGGAAATTCAGAGCTCCATGACTCTTTAGCTGAGTAGAATAGGATTTGTGATAATACAGAGGGAATCTTGAGGGTACCAGCCCAGAAGCCATGAGGAATTGGTGTGGGCTCAGCTGGTCTCTTCCTGCCTTTGGCTCAGTTAGCCTCTGACTGGCTTCTGTCCAGAGAGAATTGGGAGGTACCTAAGGATGCATATTTAATTCAAACACCCTCTTCCTTCCCCATGAATTCAATTTAACAAATATTTGCCAAGTGACTACAAGTTAACACATAGTGCTCTAGACTTAGAAAGTATAAATGTAATTGGTAAACAAGCACTATAGAAGATTAAAAAAGAGAGAGAGAGAGAAAGAAAGAATAATGCTTCCTTAGTAGTAGGGAATTATAGGGGAAATATAAATTATAACCACCATGGAATTAATTGATTATCACTGGTTGCCACTAATGTGTTGAAGAGTGAAAATGACAGGCTCAGGTCAGCCAATTAGCAGATCAGGGCATGGTGAAAAAATCCGAAGGCCTCTTTGGCAATGTTTGAGGAGAACCCCATCTCCTGCAGTTGGAGGGCAGATCATGACAAAGACCAGAGATAGGAATTAGTTGCAAAAGTAGTAGAACTTATGAGAAGGATGAATTTGCAGTCTCAGCAAATCTCTCACATCAAAATCATGGCCTGACAGGGAAGGAGTATGATCTTGAGATATAGGACAGGGAAATCTGGGTGGATGTGCTTGAGAACCTTGAACTCCCTCAAGATCCCTCTGCACTCTGGGCCTAAGGAAGTGGCCCGCATCTCCTATCCCACCCTGCTTTGCCGGGGAATAGCAGTTTTCTCTTAGCTGGAGATCATGCAGAGGCCTCACAAGGTGTACACTTTGAAAGATGATGCTTGCCTTCCTCAAGGTTTGCCTGAACCTCCCTCATGAATTCTAGGCCTATAACTAGGATCAGATCTCAACATGGTCCAGTTAGGGAAATACTGGCCATGCTTCAGCAATAAAAATGTTATTCACCAAAAAGTTGCAGTACTTGGATAAAATAATACTGGTAGGAAAGGAGAGAACATACTTGGAGTGGCTATTGAGGGTGCTGCACTGGAGGGAGGTTGGAATATAAGGCTGAATAAGGGAGAATTTATTGATACAGTGACTTAGGGTTTAATATCCAGGCATAAATGCTTGGAGCTGGTCTAATATGTTGTCTAGATGGCTCTTTGAAACTTGGAAACAATGATGACTGACAATAAATAAAGTGGAGAAACTGGAACTGCCTTGGCAGAGTATTGAAGAAGTGGTCAAAGAATTGGGGAAATGGGTATGCTACAAGGGACTTACTACATAAGACTGAAAGCCTGTTGACTGATTATGGTCGCCGGAAAAGCCTAGAGGATACTTGCTAACAAGAGCAATGAGAAACATGCTAGAGACAGGCGTACTGGCATCATTGGGAAGCTCAGTGGTGGCTGTCCTTTGTAGGCCAGGCTTGATGGTAGAGAAGACTGCTATGGAACCTGGCTCCCTAGTGTTCATATAGATGATAAGATTCCAGAATAGCAGAGTACAACTGATGACATTAATTATCGAAGGCAAAGGTAGACATAATTACTGTAAGGCAGCCAGGGACCTGACTCAGAAGTACCTGGATATTCTAGGTTTACAGAATTAAAGTCTCCTTTAAGTTAACTCGCCTGCTCTCTGTCACAATAATCTAAAACAGCCTTGATTGCTGGGACATTTCACAGAAAATCACACTGGTCTACTATATTTATGACTTTATGCTATTTGGACCTGATGGATGAGAAAGTGGCAAGTATGATGCATGCATGCATGTCAGAGGGTGGAGAATAAACTCCGCTAAGAATAAGGGGGCTTCTACACTGGGGAAATTTTTAGGTACCCAGTGGTTTGAGGCATGCTGAGATATTCCTTTCAAGGGAAAGAAAAGTTATTACTCCTCCCACTTCCTACCACTAAGAAAGAGACAGAGCACTTGGTAGGGCTCCTTGGAGTTTGAAGATAATACGTGCCATAACAGAGGAGACTTGGTGAGAGGGAGCCCTGATTACATGGTGGGTCTGGCAGTACTCAGCTCATGATGGGCAGCCGTGGTCATATCCCTTCATGATCCATAGTCCCGTGGTCAGCCTCTCTCTAAGCTTATTGAGCTACTGGTGCTACTGAATAACTGATTTTTCAGTAGCACATACTGATGCTGAGCCCTGAAAATGATGCCAACTCTTGAGAATACCAACTAGCAGTAGCAAGTTGGTTACACTGAAATACTTTCACTCTGGAAGGGTAGCAATTCACTCTTATTGGGATCAATATGAAATCAGCACATATTTTGGGTGTGGGTTTGCATTCCTGGCCTATAGCACTTAGCCAGCACCACCATTAAAGAGTGTCTGATTTATTGTCATGGGATCCACATAACATTTCCTTGGATTAAGTATTTCTTTTTACAGTGAAAGAGTATGACAAGAGCACATGATCATGAGTTTTACTGGTCTTAGCATAGATTTTATCAGTCAGAAGTTCCCAACCTAAGAGATCATTGGAATGAAGGGGACAATTTAGGGATGACACTCTTCACGGTTGGGATGCTATGCTTTAAGATAAGCAGTATACTTTGAGCCAATGGTCATTATATGGTTCTGTACCCCTCATAGGTAAAATACACAGAGCTGGGAACCAAGAGGTGTAACTTGGAGTGGCCTTTCTCACTATAACTCCCAGCATTTGACTTAGGGAATTTATAATTCCCATTCTTCCAAAGTTGCTGCACCTGATTCCTGAGCCTTTCGGGTGCTTCTACCAAGGTCACTGAAAGGATTCTGCTAAAGCTATGTCACCCTTCCCACTCCTTTACTACTGCTTCCTAAGAACACATTTCAAATAAACTATCTGTACCCTAGTCTTTATCTCAGGGTCTGCTTTTAAGGGAACCAAACTAAGACAACTGGTACCAGGAATTGCCCTAGCAAGTAGAGCTTAAGGTTGATATTCCAGAACATTCACTGATACCCAGGACCCCACTGATGGTTGTAAGTGAGATGGTGAGTAAGGTGGATTCCCCAAAGTTAACCTTGAGACAAGGATTTGTGTGAAAGTGACTTATTAGGAAGTGTTCCCATGAAAAAAACAGTAGGGAAGATAGAAAGTGGGACCAGCACAGGAATGAGGCCAATTAAAGTCTCAAGAGGGCAACTTTGTGTCAACCCTGTAAGGGGCTTACCATTAGCATTTGGAGGGCAGCTTCAGGTGAGGGGTAGAGGTGATCATGATGTGTGCCCACTGGAAAATTAAGACCGTCCTCTCTCCTCCTCCTTAGGACTCAAAGGATCCATTTCATGAAGCACTGCCTCATCATACATCCAACTGCTAATGGGTCTGAGGATGCCTCTTTACAGGATGCCAAGAGAATCTGAGACCCTTCTCAGAATCTTCTCACTCTTCTGCCTGTGAGTTCCAGCCTGGACCAGGTGGTGCTTGCTAGTGATGCTTGAGTGCTTTTCAGAACACTTGGAGATTCAGGTAGCTTCAAGAACAGTTTTAGTCTACAAATAAAGTGTGAACTAGGAGCTCAGAAGAAAAATGTGTGGACTGAATTAAGATTTTGATAATGCTCATGTGTTTCTAGCTATAGGAGAATCAATATCTTCCTGGTGGGAAGAGTGATGCTAGTAGATGTTATTTATCTAATGATCAAAGGTGCCTAAAGAAGGAACTGAGGATGTTGAGCAGGGAAAAGAGCAGACCAAAGTGGGATGGGTGGGTATGACAGAGCTGCGTTATCATTTGAAGGACTGGCACAGGGAAGAAAGAACTGATCAATAGTGCTTCTTAGATAGTTATAAGACCAATGGGAAAGAGCTATGGGGAGACATTTTTCAGCTCAATTTAAGAAAGTATTTTCAAATACCCAGAGCTATCCATAGATGAAATATACTGCCATAAAAAATAGTGAATTTCTTAACCCTAGAGTTATTCAGACAGAGGATGGAAGATCATTTTGCAGGAATAGTGTGGAAAAAATTCAAACATCAAATGGGGGTTAAAGTAGATGATACTTCCGACCCTGAAATATGATTGTTCCTGTCCTTGATGAAAATAAAGACGAACTTCAGGAAAACCAAGAGAACTCTCAACAGTCAGGGTCAGAGCAAAAGCCAGATGATTAAATGCTTAGGGATGGGATTAAACTAATCACTGCTTCTAAGCCAAGTCATATTAGAAGAATATGTGCTCCTATACTTGTAACCAGCCTTATTTATGACAAATTATTTTGCTGAAACAAAATGCTTTTTGTTTCAGTTGAATTTAAGTGCAATCACAATTTACTTAAAGAGCCTTCTGGGAACAAATTCCTCTTAGAGTCAAACTGGCCAAAGTGGAAAGAAAATATTTACAGTACTGAGATGTTTCCTTTAAAGCTTGACAAGATAGAGTATAGTATACCGAAACCCAGACACGGGTGTGCAGTGTGCAGACCAGAGATGTCTCTAGGTATTTTCCACGTCTCTGAGTATAAATGGGGATAAACGGAGATTTAGAAAATTTGAGAAGTCACAAAAAGATATACCACTGTAGTCTAAAGGGCCACACGTGGCACCTATATAGAGAGTCAAACCCTAGCTATGAACTCTGTTCCCACATGTGACCTCAGAAGTCTCTTGGATAAATATCTTCAGGAGAAATGGCTGGATCATAAGGAGGTATATACTTAACTTTCTAAGATTGGGGAACTATATCACAATGTCTTCATTTTAAAATTAATCTTGAAATCAGATAGCCTTTGTTCTCCAACTTTGTTCTTTTTTAAAGTTGTTTTGGTAATTCTCAGTCATTTGCACTTCCACATGAATTTCAGAATCAGTTCATCAATTCCTAGAAAAAAAGCCAGCTGGGATTGCATTGAATTTATAAATCAATTTGGGGAAAATTGACATCCTAACAATATTGAGGCTTCTAATCCATGAACAAGTTATATCTCTCAACTTATTTAGGTTTTTTAAAATTTCTTTCAACAAAGTTTTGCAGTTTTCAATGTATAGGGCTTTCATATCTTTTGTGAGGGTATTCAAATCTCTGACTGTAATTGTGGGTTTGTCTACTTCTCGCAGTTCTATCAGTGTTTTTTTTTTTGAGGAAGATCAGCCCTGAGCTAACATCTGCTGCCAATCCTCCTCTCTTTGCTGAGGAAGACTGGCCCTGAGCTGACATCCATGACCATCTTCCTCTACTTTTTATATGTGGGATGCCTACCACAGCATGGCTTGACAAGCGGTGCCATGTCCGCACCCAGGATCCGAACTGGTGAACCCCGGGCTGCCGAAGCAGAACGTGCTAGCTTAATGACTGCGCCACCGGGCCGGCCCCCGTTCTATCAGTTTCTGCTTCATCTATTTGGAAGTAGTGTTATTAGATGCATAAACATTTATGATTGTTATATACTTTTAATGAATTAACCCCTTTATCATCATGAAATGACCTTCTTTATTCCTGGTAATATTCTTTACTTTGAAATCTACTTTGTTTGATATTAATATAGCTCCAGCTCTCTTTTGATTAAATAGCCTGGTGTATCTTTCTCATCTTTTTTCTTTTAACTTACTTGTGTTTTCTATTTAAAATGCATTTCCTGTAGGCAGCACGTAGTTGGATATTGCTTTTAAAGCAATCCAATCTCACAGTCTTCAACTTTTAATTTGAGTGTTTAGACCACTTACATTTGAATTTGGACTGAAAGTTAGATGATAATGTTAAGATGAATGTGGATTTGACAAGAATATTGGATTGATGTTAACATTTTCTTCAAATTCAGTCAATTTGTCATCCATATTAGCTAAGGAATATTTAAGTGGATTGAATTTTTCTATTGTCTTCTTCCTGCAAATCACTCAAGTGAAAGTGACATATGTTTATGATTTAACATTCTTATTCTTAGACTTCATGGGCTGCACTTCTGTTTTCATTTTCATTGCAGCATCAACCATGCCCACATCAAAAGAACTTCCTTGAAGATTAAAGTTTCTTAAGTTTGCGGATGAGTTTCATATATTAATTTGGCTGCTTCCTGGTAATAAAGAGAATGCCCCTGTAACTCCCCTGTGAGGCATCTTCAAATTGGACTGCAGGCATGAGCAACCCTGAGAAGGATTCCTCTGGAGAGCTAATTCCACTTCTGGTGTATAAATTCATGTCTGCTTCAACCACCCAAGTGGCGCTTCTCTGAACTGAGTGTGTTTTCCTAGCCTTATCTTTGTTTTTCCACTTCTTGGTCCCTTTAGGCTGGGACCAAGAAGTGGATAAAATGGTGGGAGGAGAGTGGAGTCAAATTGGAAGTGAGGTGGTGCGGGGTGGAGAGAAGGCATAAAGAACAATGTACACGGATCCGTGGAGTTGTGACATGGACGTATGCATGGGCAACTGAGAAGGTTAGAGGGGCAGGGTGTCAGGCATGGTGAGGGAAGTGATGTGATGTGAGATAATAGAAAGGAAAATTGGAGTCTGCAGGAAATTCCTCATTGTTGGTTTTATGCGTGTTGGCATGACTATGAGATATCTGGGGTCACAGTAGACACAAGAAAGATGGAGGAGGAAAGAAGATGTGGTCTGCTAATAATTCCAATAATTCATTCCTCAACCTTTCACTTAGTGATAGTATGCTGTCATTTGACAACTTATTTACATGCTAGGGAAATAATGGTTCATCTAGGAAGCTAATAATGATCAGTTAGCATCATGCTTCCTGGTATTTGGTAGAGCGAGGGTAGGCAAGAGAAACCAATTCTCAGTCCCCATTCAAGTTTTGCCAATAATCCCAATAATGTCCTTTATAACAAAAGGATGCAGTTCCAGAATTACTCATTGCATTTAGTTGTCATATCTCTTAAATCATGTAGAAAACAAAAAGTGCAGTTATAAACCTCTGATACAATAATACCAGCTCTTATAATTGTCCATGTGTGTACTTTTGTTGAGATTTTTATTTCTCCATACAGCTTTGAGTTACTGTCTAGTGACCTTTCATTTCACCTAGCAGGATTCCCTTGAGCGTTTTTTTGCAGAGTAGGTCTAGTGTTCACGAACTCCCTCAGCTTTTGTTTATCTGGGAATGTTTTAATTTCACCCTTACTTTTGAAGGACGGTTTTGTCAGATATAGGATTCTTGGTTGACAAGTGTTTTCTTTTAGCACTTTGAATATATTGGCCCACTGTCTTCTAGCCTCCGAAGTTTCTGATAAGAAATCTTCTGATGATCTTATTGATGATCCCTTGTATGTGTGTCCTTTCTCTCTTGCTACTTTCAAGATTCTCTCTTTGTCTTTTGAAAAGTTGGATGATAACATGTCTCTGGATGAGTGTCTTTGAGTTCACCTTACTTGGAGTTCATTGAACTCCTTGGATGTTTATAATCTTATCTTTCATCAAATATGGGATGTTTTCAGCCATTATTTCTTCAAATATTCTCTCTGTCTCTTTCTCTCTCTTCTTCTAAGACTTCCATGATCCATATGTTAGTCTGCTTGTTGATGCCCCACAGTTCCTTTAGGTTCTGTTCACTTTTCTTCAATCTTTTTTTTTTCCTGTTCCTCAGACTTGATAATTTCCATTATCTTATCTTGAAGTTCATGGATCCTTTCTTTTGCCTGCTCAAATCTGTTTTTGAATCCCTCTGGTCAATTTTCATTTCAGTTATTGTACTTTTCAGCTCCAGGATTTTTATTTTGGTTTCTTTTTAGGTTTTCTACCTCTTTATTGATATTTCCATTTCATTCACACATTGTTTCTTGACTTTCTTTTCATCTTCCTTTAGTTCTTTAAGCATCCTTATCACACTTGTTTTAAGGTCTTTGTCTAGAGATTCAGAGAAGATGTGAAGACAGCATAGTTGACTTCCCAGGGTTCTGACATCCCCTTCTCTGCCTTCTTTGCCACTGCTCTGTACCACCTCTCTAGAGTTACTTCCTTCTTAGCTTTTGAGTACTTAGTGCCATCTTTCTCACTGTCCCCTTCCCTAATAACCTTAGAAAGGGTCTGATGTTAGTCATTTAAATAAAATTTCATTTTTATTCACTTCTTTCCAAACCTGATGATCATTCTCCTCAACTTTAAGCAATAACTATTCTGATTTCTAATTCGTTGTGCCTATCAAAAAGAAAGTAATCTGATTCTAGCTATTTGTGCTTATTGTAAATAGTTGATGTTATTCTTTAGGGTAAATTATTTTTAGCCACTGTGTTACTTCAATGAGACATTTTCATTTTTAGCCTTTTATTTATAAATGATGAACTGTTTTGTCCTCAACTTAGTTTGGATTGCCCCAAAAGCAGACCCTGAGACCAAAATGTGGGTGTAAGTAGTTTCCTCGGGAGGTGAACCAGGGGAGAATGATGAGGGAGTGGGGAATGAGACAAGGAAGGGAGAAAAGCCAATAAAGGATGAGTTTAAGAGTCAACTATCACTGTGGGCTAGTCCCCACTGCTGGGCACCCTCTGAGACATTGTATAGAATACACCCCAGCACTGTTCCATCAAGGGACAAGCAGCTGGAGTACTGATACACCAACTCCCATCCCTCTTTGATGTGGGTTGCTCTACAGGCACTAACTGCCCCCATGTGCAGAACCCACTACTGTGGCCAGATAAAGCCCTTAGGAAGGGAGACATAGGTGCTCGAGTTAGGAAGCATTCAGTGTGTATGGAAATTGTCCACTGAAGATGCTTGTGACTTCTATGTGGGCCAAAGGGGTATCCACAGAGTCTGCCACTTATCCTAACTTTCAGGCACCAAGGGTCTAAAACTCGTTGTATGAGAAATAATAGTTACTATCCTGGCACATATCTGTGGAAGGTTGAGTTGTATGAATGCAGGTAGATCAGATCTAGGGACGAGGATCTGAGGGTAGAATGAGGACCCTAAAGGCTAGTCTTTCCCCTCAAACATCTCTGGCTCCAAGGTGGTCTTTCTCTGTTGTGCAAAAGACTGGGGTTCAATTTCTGCTCATGGGCTACCTATGTGTTCTCCAAGCATTTTCATTCAATCTCTCTAACTCTTGGATTCCTCAACTACAGAATTAATTAAAGATGAAAACTCAGGCTTACAGAAATGTTTAGGAGATAGTGCACATGAAAGCATTTAGAAGTGTGCTCAAAATGCATTTTTCTTTCCTTTCTTACAGCCCTCTTCCTTCCTGTCTTTAGCTCCTTCCTTTTTCCCAAGAATCTCAAGCATACATTTTGTTTTCTAGCAAAGCTGACATTATTTTAGCTGGTTTAAACAATAGTTTCATATCACAAGCACACTTCTGATGTCTTTTTATTATTTCTTGCAGGGAAGGTTTTGAACCAGAGTATGTATTTGGAGCACAGGCTCATCATTAGTAGAGGTATTGTAACATGGTGACCCCAGAGCCACATGGTGCCTTCACATCAAGAGGCAAGCCTGACTCTGGGCTTATGCCCCTCAGAGGTGGTGGTAGTAGCCAGCCACATGATATTCTTGCTGGTGATGTAGCTGGCATCTGGAGAGCACAGGAAGGACGCCAGTCCTGCACAGTCCTCAGGCCACCCCACTGTATGGAAAGAAGAGATGGGGCTGAGAGTGATGATGCCTTGCTATGAGCCCTGGACTCCTGTGGGGTGCTGTGAAGTCAAGACCCCCATGAAGACGATTGAAAGGCTGCAAGTGGAGATATGTGGGCTTTGCAGGGACTTTTAATCATCTCAGGGCTAGGCAGATCATCAGATCTCAGAAAGAGGAGTGGGTTTCAGCCTGCAGAGGGATGGCATGTAATCTTTTATCCATCATGGATGTTCTGAGGTTACGTTAATCCAGATCTAGAAAGGATACTGCCTCATCCACAATCTACCTCTGTATTCCATGGAGTCCCTACATTTGGACTCAGTCCCAAAAGGCTGAGTCCTCAAATAGCTGAAGGAAAGGTCAAAAGGTTAGTGCTGCTCATACAGATGGCTCCACATCATACAGACCTGTGTCTTTGTGGAAAGGCTGCTGGAGCATGCTCTGAGCTGGTCCCTCACAGAGGGCTGAAGTTCTGATTTTTCTGCTGATACCAAAGGCCACGGACCAGAACATCGGAACGAGAGACCACACAGGTCCAGGTCTGAGAGTCCAGGTCTCTGTGGGGCATGACCTGGCAGGGAAAGGCATCCTAGCACCCAGTGGGGCAGGAGCAGGAGCTGTCCTTGGTCCTTACCACTTGCCTGAAGTCTGTGTCAGTGACTCCTGGCACCAGACAATTCACCTGGCTGTTCTCTGGTGCCAGGTCCACGCCAGGATCTTGGTGAGTCCCAGAAGGGTTGTTTTACTGACATTGTAGGCCTCTAGTTTCTGTGAAAAGAAAGGGAAGTAGATGACATATATGGAGAGGAGAGTTTCAATTGAATTTCTAAGCCTGTGTCTAGAAATATATCCCTTCAGCAGCAGCTGCAGAGGTCACTGGTAATGTTATAAGGGAAGGTGAAAAGGCTGCCATGCATGTCCTTTCTGGAGAAGGAAGATCTGAGCCAGGCATTGGTCAAATATGTAGGTGTGTCCCACCTAGCAATGGCCTGTCCTGAACCTCTCCACTTTTCTTGGCAAATGGTACTATGTCCTTTCTCCTAATCTAGAGCCATAGTTCATACTTATAGCTTCTGGGCCATACATCCTGAATGAGGAAACCAAGATCACAGAGCTTCTCCTGGGAAGAGAAAGAAGGGGTAAATATAGGTGGAGCCACATAGGAATGGGACAAATACAGACAGCCAGCGCCTGGACAGAAGTGGAGACTGTGAATCACGACAGTGAGCAAGAGGAGTTTAGGTCAGGATTAGAGTCCTCTCCTAACCTCCTCCAGCCTGTCACCTCTGTCCTAGAGCATCCTGAGGTCCAGGACCACCTTTTTGTTTTTATGCTATACTTGGGCACTCAATATTCACTAAGGAGTACTAGTATGGACACTTTTATGAAATATAGCCAACATTTGCCTTTATTCTAGACTGTTGATCTCTTTTCTGGCTTGAGGGTGTTCTACACCAGATACACTTATGAGTAATATTATAAGTACTTCCCAATGGATCCTTTGGAATCTCAGTTCCAGAAGTTCCATGTTTCCCCAGCTCTGCCCCCAAATCCTCTGGAAAAAATTCCCTCAAGGATCCTCAATGTGTCCTCATCTACCAAGTCTAATGACCTTTGTTCAGACTTCACCTCTCTACCCTCCAGTCTCCTGTGACATCAAATATTGTAGACTAAAATTTCCTTTCTGGAATACCTGTTTGGTCCTCTTTAGAAATTTGCATTCCTGCCTCTCTTTTCCCCTCAACTTACTCATTACCTTTCCCTCAGTGTCTGTCTTTTCTTGGCCCACAAATCAAGATGCTTTTTGTTTTGTCCCTCAGGTGTTTTCTCTTCATGCTCTCTTTTAATGTAGAAAGAAGATGAAATAATTATAGTGAACAATCATATGATTTTCTCCCTTACTTCCTGAATAAGGACAAAAGTCCTTATCACAATATTCAAAGCTGTCCACAATGTCCAGCCTTGTCTCTGACCTCTTCCCTTCACTCACCCATGGTTCTGTGCAATATGCATGAAACGGGGACTATGGGGAAGATTAGGGAGGATGTGGCTGGTCCAAGAGGTAGGAGGCTTGAGAGATAAGAGTTGAGTGGGACTGGGAAACACCACTACTCTTGTTTTGGGCAGGCCATGGGGTGCTTCTGAGTGGTCAACCTGGACTTCCGTGCCCTGAGCTGCTGCAGGCCAAGAGAGACCACTTCCAGTTCCCCAATTCCACGATACTTGTAGGGAATCTAGGCCTTCTGGTTGTGAGGATCCCTCTTCTCACTTCCACTAGAATCCCTGCCTGGGGCTGGCCCCATGACTGAATGGTTATCTTTGTGCACTCTGCTTCGGTGGCCCAGGGTGTCACTGGTTGGGATCCTGGACATGGACCTAGCACCACTCATCAAGCCATGCTGAAGTGGCATCCTACAGAGCAGAGCCAGAAGGACCTACAACTAGAATATACAACTATGTACTGAGGAGCTTTGGGGAGAAGAAGAAGGAAAAAAAAAAAAGAATCCATGCCTGATTTTTGGGCACTCTAGAAATCAGGAAATAATGTAAGAAGAAATAATTTTGTTCTCTTTAGTGACCTAGAAATATGAAGTCAAGCTTTCACTGTTCTGGAGAGACCACTTGCATTTCACTAATTCCAGGACAGCTGTGGGGACTCCGGGCACTTCTGTCTGTGGATCCCTTGTCCTGCTTCCAGATTCCCTGGGCACTGGAGATATGAGAGAATGACACTAATGGATAGAATTCTTTTGTTTGTTTAGCTGACCCAGAGTCTGAAAGTCAAACTCTCACAAGCCTGCTTCCCAGTGGGAAGGTCTAAGTCAACATCTGGCCCCTCTCGCTCCAGCTCCCTTGATCCATATTTGACACCAAATGACTCCTTCCCTACCCGCTTCCCTGCCCTCACTCCCTGTTCTCCTTGTGGGGCTGCAGCTGGCTCAGCAGCAGGGCTGGGGCCTTCACACTGACATTCAGGATTTGAAATCAGAGCAAATGAAGGGCAGGGGAGAAGAGACAGTCAGTCCAATGTGTGTTCTCACTGTATTAGCAAATATACTGCATTAGAACATGGGCATGATGGCTTCTAACAAGGGGAAGTGGGGAGAGTGCCGGCTTTCTTTCATATGCATGGAGGGAGGCATCCTGAAGATGCAGGAATATGGGGATCAGGCTGAGGACTCCGCAGGC